ACTTTTCCTCCCTCTTCTCTCTCTATCATCCAGCCACCAAGAAGGAAAAATGGAAGAAGATGGAACAAGTTGGTAGCTTCTTTGGTTTATAAAGAAAATGGGTTGGTCAAGTCTTGAATGGAATTTTGATAAATGTCAATTGGTAATCCCTTCCCTTCAAAATATCTTTGAAATCTTGCCAATAAACCCTTCATTTCCACTCAAATATAGTTTGCACATCCAAATAAGCTTGACTAGTTCAATTAAACCCTTGCAAATGTTTTTAAAATTATTGGACGGAAACAAGAAGGTATAAAATCATATATAAATAATTTTTCAATCACTAAGAAACACAATTCATTCAAAGTAGAAAATTTAAAAAATACATTTCGAAAACACCTTGAATTTTTTTTTCGAGGCGTCACACAAGTTACTAAAATTCTTCACTGAACTGATAAAGGATGTAATAACAGATTTTTATGTCAATCAATACCAGCAAACTGTAACATGCAAGTCCAAGACCAGAATTTCAAAAGTTCAGTGCATAGATCATGCACTGTTGTTCCTGTTTTGTTGCCTTCATAACTGAATTAAAAACAATTGACAGGCAAAGTTCATATTATGTTTGGTGGTAATTTCAATTGGTTTATACAAGTTTAAATGACACTAAATATTTTAAAATATTTTAAAATGCTGCTAAATATTAATGTATTAATGAATTAAAATAAAATTCACAAGAAAATAATATAATATATTAAGTGGCAAAGTAAGTTCATTTTAAATGCTAATACTCCAATTTCTCTCCATTTTAGTAATATACATACTTTACGTATACATTTACACATGACACTCAATTCAAAAACATTTCTTCAAATTTTGCTACCTTTAAACACTTCAAGGTGGGCACTATGCACAGCCAAGCCTTACTAGTGTAAACATGAAAAGAGAAAAATAGCATAGAAGATGAAATGTCAATAGTTACAAATAAATTCCTTCGTAGAAAGAAAAGATAACTAAATATTTGATTGATTTGTATCCACGAAAAAAATTATAAAACAAAAAACAAAAAAGAAATAGATTATTCAAGTGAAATGCATCTAGCTAAATATTTTATTGATTTATAACCAAGAAAAAAGTTATAAAATTTTTCGAAAACACCCCTAAATATAGCTAATCTATATGAAGCACAGTTTTAAAGCGTTTCAAATACTATGAGATAAACATGGAGAAATCAAATCAAAGTAAGTGTATTGTATCGTACTGACATGGGAAGAGGAAACAGAGTTTTTCATTACAACTATAATATTGCGACCATTTTGCTCTTTCTGGTAAGAGTAAAATTGGTAATTCAAAAAAAGACATATTTTTTTAACATCAAACTCTACCCACGCTTTATATATAGAAATATATACTTTTTTTTTTTTAAGAATTCGCCGAAGAACAATCAAGCAAGAGCACAACTTTCCAACACGCGTTCCATTATGTACTTCAAATAAACTACTCTTTTAAAACTCTATTTGACAACTTTAACTTCTTTTTTGGGTCAAAAGTAACAACTTTAACAATTCTATTTGATTAAATTCGGATTAAATTAGTTATTAATGTTTCGGCGAAAAAAAATGTAGTCACAAAAGTATTCAATTCCGACCAAATTAGTCTTTAATTGTTTGATCTAAAATCTGTGGTCCATAACGTTTATTAATTGACCATATTAGTGTCTAATGTTTAACAAAATCTAATACAATATGATATGCAAAAATATCATACCTATCATTGGCCTATATGACAAAATCCTGGTGGGTTTACCCTGTAGTCAATGCCAATGTATAGAAAGATCAAGAAAAATTACAAAATTTTAAAAAGTCTAAAAAATATATAAAATAACGGTAACCTATTCACTTTTGTCGAACCGAAGATAATTAATAGATATAAAAATTTATTATTTATACATCAAAGTATATAGAACCACCTGTCCAACCTATAATGGTTAACCTATTTTTTTTAAAAAAAACAAAAGCTCATAAAATGAATAAGTATATAGAGCACATGCACAGTGCTTGCTTTATTTCAGCATTAAATTGGACATTTTATAATAATTTCCACTTAATTTTTATAGTTTAAAAACTAAGTAAAATTTTCCACTTAATACACAACAATTATGAGAAAATTACATAAAATAAATGAAAAATCACAAATTTTAAAAATCTAAAAAATTAAGTGTAAAGTATCCTAAAAGCGTCAATTTAATATCGCAATAAGGCATGCATTGTGCATCTACTCTATTTGTTTATATTTTGACCTTTTTTTTTTAATAAAACTTGATCAAAACTTATAATTTTTTTTTGTCAAGAGATTAAAACTTATAATTTGTATATGCACTTTTGCACACTTTTTTTTATGTGCAAAGCGTAAAATTAGCAACATTACGAGTCACTACCTTCATTTGGTCAAAAGCAAATGCGTTTTAGTCTCCGAGCGAAATTCTCCCTCAAGTTCCCCGGTTACCTTTTTGGTCTGCCGACCCCTTCCTTGGAAAAGGTTAGCAGCTGTCATTTGACCAAATAAAAAAGAAAAATAGTTAAGTAGCACTTAAATGGACCAAATTAGCCTTGCAAATAAAAGTTGAGACATCACATTGTTTCAATTTAAAATTGGAGGACTAAATTAAAAATAGTTGGAGGACTATTTGAGTCCGATCATTTTTCAAAGCTTAAGCCATATGAAAAGGTTGACCAAAAAAGTTCCCCGTGATTAATTTGGGCGTACAAGATTTTTTTTTTTTTTTTTTGGTGGCAAAACCCCGTCCATGGGGTGGGGATGCCAGCCCTAATTTATTTGAATAAAAATGTGAAGATGATACAAGATAATTATTCTAAAAGTGGCTCTGTTTGGATTCTTCTGTTTTTTAAAAACTAATTTTTTAAATACTATAAAAAATTTTAAAAAGTACTCTAAAAGGTATTCTAAAAAGTAGTCTATTTTTTTTTTAATATTTAAAAAATATTCTAAAATATATTTTAAAAACTCTACTACTCTTAAATATTCCAAAATATACTCTAAAAACTTTGCTACAGTAAAATTTTTTAAAAACACCCCCAAAAATAGCTAATCTAATATTTAAAACTCCCAACTTTTTCATAGTTTTAGAATGTTGGTTTTTTAAAATTGTAAAAATTCTTTCTTGCCTTTTTAATTAGTTAGTTTTCAATAATTATATGAATTAAAAAAATCAAAAGTGGTTATACCAATATAGTTTAGATTTTAGCATTCATCAAGTTTGAAATCACTGAGATAAAAAGTTTATAAATATGAGGGTACATAGAGCAAATATGAAGTAAAAAAGGAAGTCATAGCTTTTAGTTAATTAACTTTACTATGTTGAACGTTCCTTTGTATCAAATAGAAAATATACCATAATTAAAAACTATCTTTAAAAAGCCTACTTTGTATGAAAATACCAAAATAATTATTCAAAATCATTTGCTTATTATTGTCAATGAATTACTTTTAAATTATTTTTGATATTAGAAACTCTATATATGGGTTTGTTATGAATATATTTTGTTGACTATTGATGAACAGGTTTATGATTGAGTTATTTTACTCAAACTATAATCAGATATTAACTGATAATGGGTGAAGAAATTATGACTAGAACAAGAACTCTCAAATTATAAATAAGAAACATCAGTAATTAATTAATTTTGATTTAATTATGCCCACAATTCCACTTTTAAACTAACCTTTATATGGTCCAATACCAACAAAAACATGATAGGGTTTTTCTTTTCGGATCTCTGTCTCAATCAGGGCTAACATTTTTTTTCCCTAATTGTCAAACTATTGAGTACCTCGAGGTCAAAATAGTGGTCTAATTTTTTTTCGATATTCGAGTACTCCACCTCTTCAAATTTTCAATCTTCAAAATTCTGGTCTGTTTGGATTGTGAATTATTAGAGATATTTTTACTGTAGCACTTTTTGTGATGTGATGTATGTGAGATAAAAAGGTAATTGGGAAGGTAAAAAGGTGTATTAAAAATTGTAATAATGATGTAAGCAAATAAATTTGGGGAAATAAAGCCCAATCCAAACAAACCGATTCCTCAGATCAAAGTACAGATATTCTAGGGTTTTGATACTACCTATTAGCACATAAAAACACATAGCAAAAATATTTTTGACATATATAAAAATGCGTGGAAAAAGAGATGAGCTACGTCCAACTCACATATTGAGACTGGCATGAAATCTAGCCACTTTATAAATAATCAAGACTTAATTTCATTGGTCTTTCATAATTTTCTTCTCACTCTAACACTACTAAAACACCCTATATATAGTTCATAAGACTTGATAATTTAGAAACTATTAAGACAAGAAACTACTAAATAATTGCTCTCTACTTTAAATCAGTAAATTAACCACTAAAATTTGACAAGAACAAGAACGTCTGGATTATAATTAGGAAACTTTAATACTTATGAAGTTGAGTTCAATTATGCCAACACAAAACCTTGCTAGGATCATGTATACTTTTACTCGAAAGAATTTTCCAACTCAGATTTAGTGAGATGAAGGATAGGAATTTAAAGTGCTAAGATTGAATATCCTTCATGCTTGCATCAGCTAGTATTTTTGTGGCTAGTCTAGTCCAAAACAATAACAAATTTTCAGCCTAAAATTGTATCTGCATGGTGGTCCTTTTTTTTTTTTTTTTTGTGCGTCAAACGGCAACATGTATCTGCATGGTGGTAGTGGTCCATTTTCAACGCGTTTTCACTTCAAGTCCTGTCGTCCTGAGGGCAAATTTGTCTTTTTACTCTGAAGACCAAATGTCAAATCCAAATACTAAGACACGCCAGACCAAAGGTCGTAGTCTCGTAGACCTCTCAATTCCATTTGAAATTTGACCAATTCAGCTACTCTTTTAATTGTGATGCCAATATTACTTCCTTACACCAGTGACCAGTGCCTTTCGTCCCTTAGCTCTCTTCTGCTATTTTCTTTCTTTCCACAGTAATGGATCACAAATTGTTGTACAAGATTTATCATCATATTCAAATTACAGCCATTCTCTTCACTATCTTGGTGGATGGAATTGTATGCTTTTACACAAATTCAAGCGATTGCATGCCTCAGAGCTGTGGGAATGGATTGAACATAGTGTATCCCTTTTGGATTCCAGGCAGGCAAGAGTCATATTGTGGCTCACCAACGTTCAATATCACCTGCAGGGACAAGAACCCCATCTTAAAGATCTCTGATGATGATTATATCATCAGGGATATATTTTACATGAATAATTCCCTTTTGCTATCTCAAGCTGAGTTGTATGATGTTGGTAATAGATGTCCAACCCCTCAACATAATTTTAGCACTGGAGGAACTCCATTCTGCTACGGCCCTGAAATTGTGGACCTTTTCTTCTTCTACAATTGCACTGAGCCGTATCAAGAAGAGACATATGCTGTGGATTGTGCCAGTAATGTTAGCCATCATGCTTTTGCTGTTTTTCATACCGAACTCCTGGACGGCAGGAACCATTCGGAACTGTCATGTCAACCTCCAGTTAGTGCACCAGTAACTATTGATTCCCTGAAAAGATTGTTAAGCATGAATTATACCGATGTATTGAAGAAAGGATTCGTTCTGCAGTGGGATGGAGACAGTTGCAGCAAATGCAGGAGTAGTGGAGGGGAGTGCGGTTCTTATGACAATGAATTTGTGTGTTACTGTGATGACCATAAACACCTAAAAACCTGTGATGAAGGTAAGCAGGGAAGAGTTTTGCATTCAATAGAAAATCTTTTGCACATTCCTTACAAATATGATTGCTGATACATGTGTACTGTAGGGGTGAGCAAATTCGGTACATATCGAATTCATAATCGAATTCAAATTCAATTTGATAATTTGAAATCGGGTATTTGGTAATATGGTACAAATTCGGTACGTACCGAATTCATCGAATTTTAATATGGTATGAAATAGGTAATGAAATTATGAATTTGGTAATAATCGATTTTGCATTCAAATTCGGTAAAATGAAATAGGGTACCGCATTACTGTATTCGAATACCAAATTAGTTTATAAAATTATATAATATATAGATAAATGCTATTTAGTGTTAGTATATACTACTAATATATTATTATATTATATAGATAAATGCTATTAATAATTGTTAGTATATGGTATTATCATGTACTTATAATAATAATAATATATAATAATGTACAATATATTATTTTAGTATTTTTTAATTGTTATATGACTATAATAATACAAATATATAGTAATACATAACAATATAACATAACTATAATACTTATTATTTTATACATGAGTAACATGACTAGAATTAGATAATAATTAATACATATATGTATAATACTAAATATTAAACAATAAACATAATTAGTAATTAGAATTTAGATATTGGTAATTTGATACATCATTCATGTTTGAATTATTGAATATTTGAATACGTAACCTGTAACTTGCAAGCATTAGTATGCTCTAAATTTATATTACATATTTAACATAAAAATTCATATTCTCTATTCACTAATCTTAAGGTTTTAAGTATGGCAAGACAACTAAGCAGTGTAAGTGAATGCATATGAGTTACAAATTACTGTATTAGTGTATTGACTTTCACAATAACATATGTAAGTAAATAAGTTTTATTTTGATTTGAAATAAATTATAAGTTTGTAACTAATATAACTTATCACTAATCATTGTAATTTGTAAGTTTGTAACTAATATTACTTATTATTAATCATTGTAAATTATAAATTCATAAATTATCACTAATCATTGTACAGTTTAAGGTTTATTCTAGTTTAAATTAATCACTTTTTATGTGTTCCTTAAATCATAGACTAAGGATTCTAGGTATAAGTGATCAAATAAATGCCAATTAAATTAAACTACAAAATGATTAGAACATAAGTAATGTGTTAAATTATGAATAAATTTGGGGATCAAATTAGTAATAATTTTTAAAAATCAGTTTTTTTTATAAATAAATTCGGTTAACCGAATTCATTACCATTTTCGAATTCGAAATCGGTTGTGAAATGAATTCGGTTATAGCCAATTCGAAATTGAAAGTGGTTTAAATTTCTATAAGTCAAATAACCGAATTCACTGAATTCAACTAATCGAATTACCAAATTTGTACCATTTGCTCACCCTAGTATAGTGCATGGTCAATACTGACATCACTAATCAAATCAATCCTTTTGTTGCTATACCAAACCTTATGGACTTAATTCTTAACCCTGAACCCTGCCGAATGTGTCGGAGCTAGTCAAAATGATTTATTTCCAATATGCCTGCCAGTTGTGTAACTTTCCTGGCAATTCTCTTAGGTTCAATTGATTTTCTTTTATCTTAAGAAGAATTTCCGCATTTGCATAATTAGATAGTTTTATTCCTATACCATCGAAAGTACGTTACCAGCGAAATTAACCTGACAAGATGGAATTATTTTGTAATGTGAACTGCCAAAAATGGAAGGGTAGAAAGTTCAAAGTAGTGAAAAACTATTTCTTCATCTGATTCATATTTCTGTTGATACGGGGGTTATTCTGCAGGTAAGAATCGTTCACAAAGGCTGAGAAATGTAATAGGTATGATACTATTCTCCATAATTTAGTTCTATTAATGCTGATTATGATTAAGTGATTCGGTTTTCATGTGATGGTATTTAATATTACAGGAATTTCAGCAGCAGGAGTACTACTGGCAACAATAATAATCATCTCTGTAGTAATTCACCGCATCATAAACAAGAAACCAGCTTATAGGTCCATCTTACTATTATTTAAGAAGACATCAAAAGAAAATCTGATCCTTGAAGCCGCCATCAAGCAATATGGATCCCTTGCCCCAAGAAGATACAGCTATTCCGATATCAAGAGAATGACTAACTCCTTTAAAGATAAACTCGGCGAAGGTGGATATGGGAAAGTTTACAAAGGAAATCTTTTTGCCGGCCGTCCTGTTGCAGTAAAGATTCTGAATACATCCAAAGGAAGTGGAGAGGAATTCATCAACGAGGTCGCAAGCATTAGCAGAACATCCCATGTTAACATTGTTGCTTTATTAGGATTCTGCTTTGAAGGTCAGAAAAGGGCTCTCATCTATGAATTCATGCCTAATGGATCTTTGGAGAGATATATACATGGTGAAACAACGTCAAAGACTGATGGTCACCTGGGATGGGCAAAACTTTATCAAATTGCATTGGGGATAGCTCGAGGACTTGAATACCTGCATAGAGGGTGCACCATGCGGATTTTGCACTTTGACATTAAACCTCACAATATACTTCTTGATGACGACTTTTGTCCTAAAATTTCTGATTTTGGTTTGGCAAAGCTGTGCTCCAGGAAAGAAAGTGTCGTGTCAATGCTAGAAGCGAGGGGAACGGTTGGTTATATTGCCCCAGAAGTAATCTGTAGAAACTTTGGAGTTGTTTCGCCCAAGTCCGATGTCTACAGCTATGGAATGATGCTTATGGAAATGGTTGGAGGAAGAAAGAACGTCAGTGTTAAAGCAAGTCATACAAGTGAAATATACTTTCCTCACTGGGCGTATCAGCATATGATACTTGAAAAGGACTTCAAATTGAAAGGTGTAATGACTCCTGAAGAAGATGAAATTGCAAGAAAGATGGCCCTAGTGGGTTTATGGTGCATACAGGCTGATCCATCGCAAAGACCAGCAGTAAGCAAGGTGATAGAAATGCTGGAAGGTAGCTTAGAGGCCTTGGAGTTCCCTCCAAAACCCTTCTTTGGTTCTCCTTCAAGATCACCAGAGGCATCTTCCATTACGATAGCTGAGTCATGATGCAACAGCATTCAAAGCTCTTCTTTCCATTCTCTAATTTCCGCTCTGAATTTCAGCTTGTTGTATATATTTTACTCGTCCCTGAGAATTTGGCTTATTTATGAAATTCCCATCATTCTGGTGAAGACCAAAACAAAAGACATAGATACGCATTCTAATTAATTCTTACATCTCTCTCCATTTGAACTAAGTGATGCTTCTAGCATTTTTCTGCCAATTAAAATTTACGAGGCATCTTTATTCACATCGCTCGGTATGAACTCTATGAAATTTGTAGGGCATATAAAGAAGGAATAAGGAAGAAGGTGAAACTAGGACTGTCAATGGGACTGGACCAGCTCGAGCTCGGCTCATTCGGCCCGACAAAAAGCCCGATGAATCCGATATTTTTGTGAGCCGGTCTGAGTTTGAACCTAAAAATTAAGCCCGAATTAAATATGAACCAAGCTTGGGCCCTATTAAGCTCAAATCCGATATAACCCCGGCCCTTTAATTATCTATATATATATATATAATATTTTTATTTTTATATTATGAATAATTGTATGTCCAAATATATTATTATTAAATACTAAATATATATATATATATATTTATTACAAAATATAAAAATATATCTAAAGACTCTTCCATGATCTTTCTTGAGAGCCAATATTAGTAATGCACAACTGAATCTCTAACTTTTCTTATTGGTTGAATAAATTTTTGTGCTGGCATAATATTGTTTGATTTCTTTTTGATCTACAAACACAAATCATCAAACATGTTTGGATTCAAATCACAAGATTATAAAAAAAGTTTCAACTTTTAAAGATGTATTGGCTTATTATCGCATGTTTCATTACTATTTTTCATGTATTTTGAACGAATTAAATATAAATATTGTTGAAAAAGTTTTGGTTTATATGCTTTTTAAGAACTATTATTTGTTCATATTTGGTTTTAATATTATAGTTTTGTAAATGTCAAATTAGTTTTACAACTTAATAGTTGTAGTAATTATATTAAGAAAATTAAGGAGTACTAAGTGAGTTTTGGCTAAACCCGATTAAGGCTCACAACCCGAATATCATGTGAGTTGAATATAAGATTCACATTTATGAACCCGAAACTTATAGCTCGAAACTCAAAAATGTTCCAAATTAAATGAGTTGAGTTTGAATTTATGAAAGCCCGGCTGATTAGGCCCGATTGACAGGCCTAGGTGAAACAAAAAGGCAGGACTCTTCTATTTGCAGTACCTAACTAAATTTTATAACGGCAAAACTAGACAACCGAAATTGACCTGTGGCCTTGCTGCATCATCTGATGAAGCTCCATTTTTCTGCTAATTAATAAGAATCATCTGACTATTCAGGTAGGTTGGCTAGAATTAGAAAGAGTCTCATAGGTTCTGCTGCGCACTAGGTTAGGGTAGAGTTCAAATTCTGCCTAGTGCATGTAAAGGAGAAACTTTTGAATCCCTTTGGGTTAAAAAATATAAAGGGCCGAGTAGTACACTTCTATGGCCAAGAGATAGATTTCTTCCCCTTTAGGCTTCAATTGGCCTCTCCCAAATTTTTGAATAGTGTTGACTTGTGTAAAAATAAATAAATGAACTGCACCTCTAGTTTTGAACTGCACCTCACCGCTGACCACCGGATATAGCAATGGTTTCGAAATCTACCCTAATGTTTACGATTGGAAGTGTATTGAAGCCTCTAATTGAGTTCGAGCTTGCTTAGTTTTAGCTTTGATTTCAATAAAATTGTTTGAGTTCAAACTAGTTCCAGACAAATATCAACTAACATGAATATAACTCATATATTACATGGTAAGACAGACATGTGAGAATTTTAAGGCAATCTTACTTGGTATGCTTGACCATCTTCAATATTCAATATCTATTTCAAAAAATAGTTTTTGAGGTAGGTTTTCACTTTAGTTAAGTACCAACTTTAGTCAATTCTACTACATACAAAGAAAATAAAATGTACAAACTGCATGTGCATAAATTGGCATAATATCTGGTTTTATTGTTTGTTCAAGGCAAGTACAACTCATAATTTTGCAAGCTTAAGAGTTACATCGCCATCTTTAGCATTTTCTGAAACTTTGCACACAATTGTAACTCTTGATGATGCTATCAAAGCTTTGTTCTTAAGAGTTTGAGGAATTTGTCTTCCAGAACATCACTTCCCATACCTGCACCAAGTAATTTATTATTTCAATTAACATCTTTAATTTAGTAGTAATCATGCAAAGGACATCAAGTGTGACAAGTTAATACCTAACAATAATTGTGACAAAATGTAAATTATTTTTGGTGCATCAAGTCAAGAAAAAAAAAATGGTAGCAAAGTACCTGAATAGTTTTGCCAACACTGATAGAGGTTGCCTCAGCAAGAACCAAGTCACCAATCTGTGCACTATTGAGATGGTTAATGCTGAGTTGAATTCCTGCAATCCTCCGTCTCCCGTTGGCTAAGTAGGCTCCCAGGCTCGCCAGTCCCTCGGCTATCATTGCAGACACCCCTCCATGCAATACCTCAAACGGCTGTAGAAGAAATTCGAACTTTTTTCTCATTGCTACAGCATATTTTCAGCAGTATATGTTCTCAAATTTACGTTTTTTAAACGGGTTCTTACAATCCAAGCATCGCTATAGTATATTTTCTATAATATAATTTTTCTTCAAAAAATCTAAACACATATGATCCAAATTACTTTTTCATTTTTCTTTATTCTGTGGTTGGCGTGTCAAAATAGGTTATCAACGAAGGATAGACAACTAGCATGAGGGTCTATCTAGCATGAGGGATGCCAGTGGACGTCTACTGCACTCTGTGTTCTGCTACTATGTTTTTAGGCTTGGACCGAATATCGACTCGATCGAGCTCAGAAGTCAGGAGTTAATGGATTCGATCAGAGTTGAATCGAATGGCGTTATAAATAAAAATTATTTAAAAATTAAAATATGGTATGTAAAATACCTAAGAGCATGTTAATATTAATAAAGATATATTCATATATATATATATATATATATATTTGATGTTTCAAACAAATTTAACAAGAAAATACCCGTTTGAATTGGCCATTTTTCAAAAATAAAATTTTCAAATACAATACTACAGTAATACACAATAACTCAAAAAAATATCTCATCCATACAATATATCAAATACTTTAAAAAAATTTTATAGTAAAAATTTTTCATATACACTGCTATAGTAAAATTTTTCAAAAACACTCCCAAAAACAGCTAATCTAAACGGAACCAGAACGATCAATTAGCAATTTATATTATTGAATGAATATTAACAAGTTTAGAAAAGTATGGATTTGATTGAAAAATAACACCAAACTTTAGAACAACATCTATAAAAGTATGAAATATTTGAGGTATATTAATAATTTTTAACAATCTAGGGATCAAAACATAATATTGAAAATATTTTAACCTTTTAAAAAAAAACCTTTGACATCAAACCGATTCTTCCGGTCAACCCGATTTTTTGACTTGATTTGACCGAGTTTCTATCTATCCAATTTTTAGGATAACTCGAACCAAACACTTAATCAGTTTCTAGTTCAATCTGAAAGTTCAATCGATCAGACTGGTCCGATCTGAGTTTAAAAACGTCTAGTTATGAATCCATTGAACAATTGTTTTTTCTGTGTCCTTTTTCAGCCTCGGTTTGGTCGTGTGTACTGAGGAAATGCAAGATAAATAGAGATCCTAGAGGCTAGAGTGAGGAGCCACAATGGATGGTCAACCATGGCTCTCAAGGGATGTTTGCTTCTTGTCATCTTGTGTGAAACGTGTAGCTTTTGCTGCTACACTTTATGCTGTCTGGAGAGGTAGGAACCAGAAGATATTTAGTAGCCTTCAAATTTCTCCCACTGCTGTCAGCAATCAAGTAATTAGAGAGATTTGCAGCATTGTGCTAGGATGGAGACCTATACCTAGGCTTCAGCAAAATCTGGAGCTATGCTTGGAATTAGGAGTTTCCCTTGCTGCATTTGATCCCTTTTTTTTTTTTTGTCAAAAGGACATTTGATCCCATTAACAAAAATTAGCACCCCCCCCCCCCCAAAAAAAAAGAAAAGAAAAGAAAAGTAAAGGGAACAAAATAGTCAACTGCCCACTAAGTTATTGATTGTTTTTTAGAAACATTTTCCTGACCTTTTCTATCACAGTCTATATTCCTGATGAATATCATCCCAATGAAGCAAAAGACAAGAAGTACAGATTCCAACAGTTCTAATCACGATCCTTTTTTGCATCAAGAAAAATGGCTAATATCAAATTTAACTGAATTTGCAGTGAACCTAACAACAAATGGGCGTGGCTTGAAGGCGGCCATTGATTTTATGAGGCGACACATGTTCAATCTCAAAGCCAAATGGTGCTGCAGGATCATTTATAATCTCTCTGATACTCTTGATGCTAATGAAGATGAAGGTGGTGGCAAAACCATTTGGTTCTCCTTCTAGCTAATGCACTCAAATGAAATGTGCCATCATATATGGCTTTGAGCTATTAAAGCTAGGAGACTAAGCATGGAATGAAATTCTAGGATTATCAGTCAAATGTATAATTCTAGTTAAAGAGTCCAATGGCAAACAGAACAAGAAAGAGTTGTATCTTAATTCAAAGGCCGGCAATACCTTGCGCTTTCAACTGATGAGCCATTTACAAGAGACAAATAAGTCTAAATGTAAATTAGTATCCTCTGGCAATTGCAAGTACCATTGCCTTTAAACAAGACATCAAAATTTTTCTAAACACTATTTTGCCTGCATCATGTTTTTCGATCAACTTCTTATCTCACAAACATCATATCATAAATATTACCACTATAATTATTTTGAATAATATTTCAAATAATCTTGTATCCAAATACATATAATTCCTATCATTCATGACGTGATCAAAGCAGGTTTGACTAGATTTTTGTGTATATCTTGTCGTACACCATCAATTTAATTTTAAGTTATGCACCCCATTATTTTAC